TAAGTCTACATTCCAAGGTAAGGGGGAGGAGAACTTTAGCTCTTTAAAATTTTATATACTATTATGTTTATTAATTTATGTTATTTTTATGTATATTTATTTAGTGGGGTGTCCCTAACCTCATTTATTTGCTTAACTTATAAATATTTTTATCCATAATAATTATTAAGGTGTTAATATTTTATATTGTTTAATTATTTTATAATGATTTTCATTTTTTATTTATATCATTGGTACTCTTAATATATTCTTTTTACGTAAATATATTTATTGTAAATATATTTTATAATCAACTATAATATAGTTGTGATATCTTGGACTCGTCTTATTATTATTTCTTCATGTATTTATGAAGATAAATATTATTCTATGGCAATAGATGTAATGTAAAAAAAAAATGTGGCTGATTTAGTAGTCAGAACGGGTCGTTCCCAATTTGGAACGGGTCGTTCCAAGCTATTGAATTAGCCTGTGAAACGTAGTTGAGAAAAATCGGTCGCTATTTCGGTTGCTAAATAAAATTTTTTAATTTTTTAGCGATGAAATTAAATTCAGTCGCTATTTCGGTCGCTAAATTATAAATTTTGATTTTTTTAGCAACGGAATTAAATTCGGTTTCTATTTCAGTCGCTAAATTATAAATTTTTTTTTTAGCGACGGAATCTAATTCGGTCGCTAAATATTAGTTAAAATTAGCGATGGAATTGAATTCGGTCGCTAAATAGTAGTTAAATTTAGCGACAGAATTAAATTCGGTCGCTAAATTATAAATTTTGATTTTTTTTAGCGACGAAATTGAATTCGGTCGCTAAATAATAGTTAAAATTAGCGACGGAATTAAATTCGGTCACTAAATAGTAGTTAAATTTAGCGACGGAATTGAATTCGGTCGCTAAGTATTAGTTAAAATTAGCGACCGAATTGAATTCGGTCGCTATTTCGGTCATTAAATTAAAAATTTTGATTTTTTAGCGACGGAATTGAATTCGGTCGCTAAATTATAAATTTTGATTTTTTAGCGAAGGAATTTAATTCGATCGCTAAATCATAAATTTTGATTTTTTTTAGCGACGGAATTAAATTCGGTCGCTAAATATTAGTTAAAATTAGTGACGGAATTGAATTTGGTCTCTAAATCAGAAATTTTGATTTTTTTAGCGACATAATTAAATTCAATTGCTAAATATTAGTTACAATTAGCGATGTAATTCTATTCGGTTGCTAAATATTAGTTAAAATTAGCAACAAAATTCTATTCGGTAGCTAAATATTAGTTAAAGTTAGCGACAAAATTCTATTCGCTCACTATGTAAAACTTAAAAAAATGTATAAATTGCTTAAAAGTGATGATAATATTTTTGTTGAGTATCAATCCCATTTTCTTTTTTTTGTAAGAGCAAGACATTAATTTATATTAAAAAAAATATTTATATGCACTCCTACATAATTAATATCAATAGTTATTTATGTGAAAAAATATTTAGAGGTTTTTTTTTACGATTGAATTTTTAGGCAGTTTTTTAATTAGAGTATTATGAATTTTAAGTTGAAAGTTGTTTTAAAGTTGAAAGTTGTTTTAAAGTTGAATCCCTTAGTACTGTGTGGGCGACATGGAAATAGTCGATCCATGTCATGGTTGAATGACCAATTTGAGTAAGGTATCTAGTTAGAGATGCAGTCTTTGACTAGATACTGGAGGGTGCGTGGTACTTGGAGGACAGTGGGTGGGCTAACTCCACATGTGGATTGGTGAAGCTAGCCAAGGCCGTGGTAGGCTCATACCCAAACCCTTCTGTCCTGACAGTAGTACTGGACCTCCGAGTCTAAGTGGCACACCTGAGCAATCGCCTATTGTTGTCTATACCTGGTTCTCTTCGAAGTTCCTAACGTTGTACTATACCTGACCTGGTGGAGATAGGTCAAACATTGGATTCGGTAGGGTTTATGCCACCTAGACTGCTCAACCTCAGTTGTTGGAGATCTCCCAGTTGTATATGCATGACGACGCATTAAATATTAAGTTGTATATTGTTGTTGTTGTTATATTAAAGTTGCTTCTAAGTTGTATGAATGAGTTGGGTTTTTATGTTGAATTGTATAGTTGTTTGTGGTGATGATTGTTATACATTTATTGCATGATTGTTAATATGATGAAATGTGTGGTGTCTTGCTTCATGATTGATTTTGAACTCTAGCTTACCCTCTTGTTTCCATGTGGATGGACTGCGATGATCATGCCTTGTATGGGAGCAGGTCAGGGCCAGCTTGGAGTTAAGGTGACCGCTGCGATACGAGGAGTTTTGATCCTCGTGTTAGAGTTATCACCTTGGGTAACCTTTTGTGCTTGACTAGTACTAGGAGATAGTATTTTTGGATAACTGTATAAATACCTAATACTTAAAAATTTAATGATTCATATATATTTTTCATGTTTATGTATTTATAAGCTATCCAACTTTATTATTTATCTTAGTTCACTATTCTTAGTGCGATTCTACTAAGTGTAAGGACCACGGTGGGTCGTTACAATAGAAGATAAAATTTGAATTATTTGTAGCTGGAGGCTTGACCTTGAGAATTTAAATGAGTAAGAATTTATGGTAAAATATCATGTTTGATATTTGATTGATATTACAATAATGTTAATTTATCCTGACTAGTCACTATTAAAATAATTCAAATTTTATTATAACAATAAAAATTTTATTTTATTTTTACTATAGATAATCTTGTTCTTTATTTAATTAATTGTATCTATTTGATAAGGGTTCTCACTCCTTATTTCTTTTTGTGAAAAATTTAATATATCATAAAATAGATGGATCTACCGGCCATACCAGGTCCTTTTACAGTAGTTATCACTGTCATTTTTCCTGGGGGTAATTGGAGTGTAGACGCTATCTCCAACTCAGTCACGTTTCAAGGTATAGGACTGTCTTCGTTCGTTTTCTTTCCCAATCAAGAAAATTCCACTATTATAAATGGATTTATTATAATGACTTTCTTTTTACCACCAACAAATCATGCAAATCCTATTGTAAACTTATTTTCACCACCAATGTAAAGACTATCGTAGTAGTAGTAGAAAAAAAAAATAATATGTAAGGCATGTACTCTCAATAATAGTAAAATAATATGTAATGTAAATATTGGAAATAATAATGTAAGATATGAGTAGTTTATAATTACGTATATTATTGCAAATATTTTAAGGCCATTATAAGTCAATTATGTGTATATGAGTTTGAGAATTTTCTTTTATTACTTATTTGTGTTCTCAATCTAAAATATATATATATATATTATCCGTGTTAATATTTATATTATTAGACGTTACATAAATAACTTTAATGAATCAATTGAATCTGATTAATTTGGAATAATAAATTTGATTAAAATATTTTTAATATAAAAATATTTTAATCTTTGATCCTAAATTTGAATTTCCATTCAATCATTGTATATATATATGTAAAAAAAAAAAAAAAAAAACTTCTCTTGACACTTAAAAAAAGAGATGATCTAAATCCTACTATTAACTTTTTTCCAACAATAACATAAGGATACATATGTAAATAATATAAACACTACTTGATTTTATTTTTCTTCTTTTTTTTTTTTTACTAAGAATATTTAAATTAACGGTTCTAGACTAATTTCTTTTAATTTATCTTTCTTATCAAATTTAACCCTTCACACCTTACTTAAACAAACCTATGTTATCCATCAATTGTACCGAATCTAATTAGTTCTCATCCTTTGTCATATTATCACTGCATTATTGAGTTTATGTCTGAAGACTAGCATTACACTACACGTCCACAAAACATTACTAATTATATATAAATATATATTTTAGAATAACATTACTCGGTGAACCACATTTCTAATAACCGTTGATTCCAATCCATGCTCTCACATACATTATTTCTGTTCAATGAACTTAGAATACGTTAAACTAAATAGTATGTTTACATTAATTTGAGAGACTATTATGATAAACATATGGTATAATTGTAGAAAATGGTGGGAATAATAGTATGTATGATTGAAGAGGGTCCACAGAAGAAGGGTGGAAAGGTTCTATCAACTAAGAGTGAGTCCCTCCCAAGGAAGGCCAAGGACTCCTCCGTACACAATCCACATTATCATATATGATCCTGTGCAATTTCTTCACCCACCGATGCCATTATTATTTACTCTTTAATTTCTCAAAACATATATATCCTTATATTATATATATGCAATGTAACCTCATCCATAAGGATGATATGATACAAGAAGAGTGGCCCCAACCCCCAACTTAGTACACGTCAGGCACTAACCTTTCTCTCCATCAATAAATGGCTATAATGCACCACAAGGGTTGTCTCAATCTGTACCTTGAACCATTCCAAGTCATTCTAAGAAGTTTCATTTTGGATGGACAATGAATGCTCGCTCGCAACAAACAAGAGGAAGGAAGCGTCCATGTTGCTATTCATATATATGAATTTGGTTAATTTAATTTTAATTTGATTTTCTTGTTTTATTTTGGTGAGAAGATACTTGGGTGAACCTGGCTAATAAGACAAACTGGACGAATGAGATGAAGCCAAGTGGGGACAAATGAAGGAGGGTAAGAATTTCTTGTTGGATGAGTATGTCCCTTCTCCAATGCCTATCCATGCCTCCAATAAAACTCTAGCCCCACGACCCATCCAAAATAATCCCTTTCCCTTTTCACTTAATATATATTTTTCTTTCACCCCAATGAAACCAACACCAACACTGGATCATTTATTATTAAAGCTTTAATTCTTCAATTGAGATGCACAAAGCAAGAGATGTGCACAGTAGCAGCAACGTTCAGGGGGGATGAACTTATGAACTTCACTAAATCAAGGTCCACCCTCCTCATGTGAACCCCATCAACTTGATCACCACTGGGTCCCACTTCACATACAATGCCCACAACTCAAACATAACCTTCTCTATTCACTCATCACAACAGAGCAAAGACCCACCAACACCATCATCCTCTTCTCCTTTTTACCCCTCTCCCTCACTCCCTTCCATTCCTTACAGTCCCCACTTTCACACCCCATGAATCTTCCTACTCCCTCACCCATTCCAGTTGACCCACATCCCCATATCCCTCACTTAAATATAACCATCATTTCTTAACAATTACTAAGCAACTAGTTATTAATACCACCACCTCATCATTAATAAATTCTCCCAACTAAGCATATTTCCTTTTCCACTTAGGATAATATTATAATAACACATTTACTAGGGACACTTTTCTTCTATATATATTCCTTCCTCAAACAACCCCTATTCCCACCCAAACCCAACTCTCCTTGCTACCTCTTAGTCAAACAAAGTAACAAACCATCCTTCTTCTCTTCTTTCTCTTCTCTCTCATATCCATACAAATTAACAAAACTAAATGGATGCAATTAGTTGCATGGATGAGAGCACCACCACCGAATCCCTCTCCATGAGTCTTTCTCCGACGATGTCGTCAAAGAAAGCATTTGTTTCTGCTTCTCCGACGACATCGTCGAAGAAGACTTATGTCTCTCCGCCGCCACTGTCAGGCACGTTGTGTCGCGTCGGCAGTGGTGCGAGCGCAGTCGTGGACTCTGACAGTGGCGGCGGGGGCACCGAGGTGGAGTCTCGAAAACTCCCCTCGTCAAAGTACAAAGGCGTCGTCCCGCAGCTCAACGGCCGCTGGGGTGCGCAGATTTATGAAAAGCACCAGCGCGTCTGGCTCGGCACCTTCAACGAGGAAGATGAGGCCGCCAGGGCCTACGACGTCGCCGCCGTCCGCTTCCGCGGCAAGGACGCCGTCACGAATTTCAAAGGGCTCGCCGCCGCCGAGGACGACGACGGCGAAGCCGAGTTTCTCAACTCGCATTCGAAGTCCGAGATCGTGGACATGTTGAGGAAGCACACGTACAATGACGAGCTGGAGCAGAGCAAGCGGAGCCGCGGCGTGGTACGGCGGCGTGGCGGAGCCGGCGGCGGCGGCGGGAACTGTCTCTCCGGCGCGTGTGTTGCGAAGGCGCGTGAGCAATTGTTCGAGAAAGCGGTTACGCCGAGCGACGTGGGGAAGTTGAACCGGTTGGTGATACCGAAGCAGCACGCGGAGAAGCACTTTCCGTTGCAGAGCGTTAACGGCGTTAACGTGAGCGCGACGGCGGCGAAGGGCGTTCTGTTGAACTTCGAGGACGTTGGAGGGAAAGTGTGGCGGTTCCGTTACTCGTATTGGAACAGTAGCCAGAGCTACGTGTTGACCAAGGGTTGGAGCCGGTTCGTCAAGGAGAAGAATCTGAAAGCCGGCGACACGGTTTGTTTTCACCGGTCCACTGGACCGGACAAGCAGCTTTACATCGATTGGAAGGCGAGGAATGTGGTGGTTAATGTTAATGTTAATGTTAATGTGAACAAGGAGGTTGGGTTGTTCGGACCGGTGGCCGAACCGGTCCAGATGGTTCGGCTCTTTGGTGTGAACATTTTGAAACTACCCGGTTCGGAGTGTATCGCCAATAGCAACAATACAAGTGGCGCTATTCCTGGGTGCTGCGGTGGCAAGAGAAGGGAAATGGAACTGTTCTCGTTAGAGTGTAGCAAGAAACCCAAGATTATTGGCGCTTTGTAACATCACGTTAATCTTTTTTTTTTTTTTTTTTTTTTTTTTTTTTTTGATGTTTGAA